ATAGTTAAAGATAACCATCTTTCACTTTTTTCTTGAGTCCTCTGACTTCAATAAATGTATTGTCACCAGAATGACATGATCTAGCCTGTCCCCTATTTCTAAACTTAACTAAATCATGCTAAATCATGATCATTTCAAACCCGTTACTATTTCTTCCTCTCTCTGGCCACTCTGAACTAGTTTAGTTATATTTTCATGACAACATATTCTAGGAAATGTCAACATTTTTATTAGTATGAACTGTTACTGTTTCCAATAAACAGGCTACTGTACAAGCCTTGGGTATAGTTTTTGTTATTATACAGGGTTTTTTTTTTTTTTTTTGAGACAGAGTTTTACTCTTGTTGCCCAGGTTGCCATCTGGGCAACCTCCATCTCCTGGGTTCAAGCCATTCTCTTGTCTCAGCCTCCCAAGTAGCTGGGACTACAGGCACCTGCCACCATGCCCAGCTAATTTTTTTTTTTCTTGGGATGGAGTTTCACTCTTGTTGCCCAGGCTGGTGTACAATGGCATGATTTTGGCTCACCTCAACCTCCACCTCCCGGGTTCAAGAAATTCTCCTGTCTCAGCCTCCTGAGTAACTGGGATTACAGGCATGTACCACCATGCCCAGCTAATTTTGTATTTTTAGTATAGACGAGGTTTCTCTATGTTGGTCAGGCTGGTCTCAAACTCACAACCTCAGGTGATCTGCCGGCCTCAGTCTCCCAAAGTACTGGGATTACAGGTATGAGCCACTGTGCCCAGACTAATTTTTGTATTTTTAGTGGAGATGGGGTTTCATCATGTTGGCCAGGCTGGTCTTCGGTCTTCAACTCCTGATCTCAAGTGACCCACTCGCAGGATTATAAGCAATCTTTATTTTCATGCTTTTCTAAGTTTTCTAAATTTGTTTCTGATTATACAGAAAATAAGTGTTATTTATCTAAAGCAATATATCATATGCACAGATAAACTATAGCATCTGTGTATAAACCCAACATACTCTCTAATATATGTATACTATATGTGTATATATGTATACTATATATATGTATATTAGAGAGTGTTGGAACAGATGTTGTAGTTATCTGTAATATATCTTAGTTTATATGTGTGTATATATGTATATATACATACACACATACATATACATATAAATTCAACATAGACCCATCTCTAAATACATATACATATATATATATATAATATACTATCTCTAAATATATATATACATATATACATATATACACATACTTACCTCAGCCTCCCTAAGTGCTGGGACTACAGGTGCATGCCATCATGCTCAGCTAATTTTTTATTTTTAAATCTTTTGTAGAGAAGGGGGGTCTCCCTATGTTGCTCAGGCTGGTCTCAAACTCCTGGGCTCAGGCAATTCTCCTGCATCAGTCTCCCAAAGCTCTGGGATTACAGGAGTGAGACACAGCCCACAGCCTATTTGTAACAGAACTGAGTTCTATTTCACAAGGCCAGAACATGTTACTATTTTAAAAGTTCTATTTCACAAGGCCAGAACATGTTACTATTTTATTTTATTTTATTTTATTTATTTTTTTTTTTGAGACGGAGTTTCGCTCTTGATACCCAGGCTGGAGTGCAATGGCGCGATCTCGGCTCACCGCAACCTCCGCCTCCTGGGTTCAGGCAATTCTCCTGCCTCAGCCTCCTGAGTAGCTGGGATTACAGGCACGCACCACCATGCCCAGCTGATTTTTTGTATTTTTAGTAGAGACGGGGTTTCACCATGTTGACCAGGATGGTCTCAATCTCTTGACCTCGTGATCCACCCGCCTCGGCCTCCCAAAGTGCTGGGATTACAGGCTTGAGCCACCGCGCCCGGCCTTCATGTTACTATTTTAAAGCTTTACCCAAAGTATCAAGAAATTTTGCCAGACTATTTGTAACCCTTAATATTAAAAAGCGATTCATAATTATATTTCTAAAACTCAATTTCTTATCTACAATTATATTTATGTATGGAAAAAATCTCAAATGCTACATGCCAAAATATTAACACTGGTGAAATAACAGGTGATTTTTATTTACTTACTTTTTGGTGTTTTCTCATTTATTTTGTAACAAGTATGTAATCTTTTATATTCTAATTTTCTTACTGTGGGGGAAGGTGCTGACTTTGATGAAAATTAATACTTCTGCACTTTGGGGCAGGAGCATAAATGTATACATACACTATTTCTGGAGTTCCTCACCTTGAATTTTACTGTCACCCTCTCTCAAATGTTTTCCTTCTTGGTAAATTATATGAAATACTAATAGTAATAATAATCTAATAGTACTAATAGTAATCAAGCTCTACTGGTTCACCCTAGGATCTACACCATAACTGAAGTTAGCTGAAACTAAAAACAACCAAACTCAAACTTGACTGTCACTATTTATTAAAAAATAATGTAACTTCTTGTTTTAGAGGAAAGGAACCATCGCCTACAGTGAATGACTCACTAGGCTGATTATGTTGTATATATAAAGTACCAAACAGTTATTACAAGAGGTGTTTGGGACTGAGATTCAGAAATCTATAACTACACTATGAGCCTGACTCTTCCAAGGTGAGTCTCATCTGTTCTGCCAAGGAACCTCAGCTTTAGGGGCAACTAATTCCTTACAACATTTCAGCTCTGGACATGTCCAGGTGGGAAAGAATGGGCAATGGATTCAGGAAGAACAGAATTTTGCTTTCTTTTTTTTTTTTTTTTTTATGGGATGGAATTTCAGTCTTGTTGCCTACACTGGAGTGCAATGGCGCCATCTCAGCTCACTGCAACCTCCGCCTCCCAGGTTCCAGCAATTCTCCTGCCTCAGCCTCCCAAGTAGCGGAGATTATAGGCATGCACCACAACGCTTGGCTAATTTTTTGTATTTTTAGTAGAAACAGGGTTTCACCATGTTAGCCAGGTTGGTCTCAAACTCCTGACTTCAGGTGATTCGCCCACCTTGGCTTCCCAAAATGCTGGGATTACAGGCATGAGCCACAGTACCCAGCTGGGGTTTTTCAATCCCAACCATTCAATGTTAAGTTATAAAACTTAATTCTTAATTTCTTGACCTCTAAAACAGGAATAAGAAAAACCATCTAGCAATATTGCTCTAAATATTGGAGATACTGTATGTTTAGTAGGTAGCCTATAGTAGGTACTCAAATTATTATTATTATTATTATTTTTTTGAGACGGAGTTTCACTCTTGTTACCCAGGCTGGAGTGCAATGGCGCAATCTAGGCTCACCGCAACCTCTGCGTCCTGGGTTCAGGCAATTCTCCTGCCTCAGCCTCCTGAGTAGCTGGGATTACAGGCATGCGCCACCATGCCCAGCTGATTTTTTGTATTTTTAGTAGAGACGGGGTTTCACCATGTTGACCAGGATGGTCTCGATCTCTTGACCTAGTGATCCACCCGCCTCGGCCTCCCAAAGTACTGGGATTACAGGTGTGAGCCACCGCGCCCGGCCGGTACTCAAATTATTTTAACTGGTTTGCTTATAATAGTTCTTTCTTCTGATGCTAATGCTTAGATATTCCACTGTGCTTAACATAAAATGCATATCTGAAAATAACTGTTTGCTGGTGGGTATAGATTGGCCAAATACTGGAAGCTAGGACGTTGCCAGCACCCTCCCTTCCTGCTAGTATCATCTGGGTGTACTTCATGTCACTTTTGTTACTGCTATGGCATCTATCCCAAAAGTAAGAGGGTCAGGCTGCCCAGCTTATAAGGTTTCCATTTCCATGTACTTATTTCTTACTCCCATGGATTTTTTTTTTCAATTTTTTTTTTTTTTTGAGACAGAGTCTCACTCTGTTGTCCCCACTGAAGTGCAGTGGTGTTATCTCAGTTCACTACAACCTCTGCCTCCCAGGTTCAAGCAATCCTCCCACTTCAGCCTCCTGAGTAGCTGGATTACAGGCATGTGCCACCATGCCCAGCTAATTTTTGTATTTTTAGTAGAGACAGGGTTTCACCACATTGGCCAGACTGGTCTCGAACTCTTGACTTCAGGTGATTGACCAGCCTCAGTCTATCAAACTGTTGGGATTGTAGGCGTGAGCCACTGTGCCCGGCCCTCAGTCCCATTTCTTTCAGGACCAGACAACAGATAAAGTTGGTAGAAGGAGAACTGCTGGTTCATTTTATTGATTTTCAAACTGGCAACAGAGCTGATACAAAAGCAGACTAGGAAGAATACTTTCATTTAGGAAAATACTAATGAGTCAAGTTGAATTTTTCATTTCCAAACAGAAACCCAAGAGATGCATACTGTATTCATAGCAATTTAGCCTTTTCTTTTAGGGAAATATTTTACTGTCAAGAAATCTATCCTCTATCTGCCCCTCTCCTATCTTCTCTGCGGTAAGGGAGCAACCTTCCATTTGCCACCTGTGACAAATGCAGTTTCCAGTATCATGTGAGGAAAAGAGATCTTAATCACAAAGAGACAGCTCTATCCAATAACCTACAATCATAAAACAGGTACCTGGCAGGCAATTTCTGAACATGACAGCAAATCATTGTTATTATTATTTTTTTTTTTGGAGATGGAATCTCACCTTGTTGCCCAGGCTGGAGTGCAGTGGCATAATCTCGACTCACTGCAACCTCCACCCCGGAGTTCAAGTGAATCTCTTGCCTTAGCCTCCCAAGTAGCTGGGATTACAAGCGTGCACCACCACGCTTGGCTAGTTTTTGTATTTTCAGTAGAGATGAGATTTCACCATGTTGGCCGGCTGGTCTCAAACTCCTGACCTCAAATGATCTGCCTGCCTCAGCCCCTCAAAGTGCTGGAATGACAGGTATGAGCCACTGTACCCATGGCCAATGACTGCAAATCATTTTAAATGAACTTGATCCAATGACCAAACCAACAGTAAGAACTCATTATTAGCTATAATAAGAGATCCACTTCTACAAGACCACCACCACAGAAAAGGAAACACTGCAGAGATCCTGTACAGAGCCTCCTTGTTGTCTGTACAGTCCTTACCTGACAGTCAAAGTCCTGGAAGTTTCGTGTACCATTCTGTCAACAGAAGACAGAAAACACAGTCAGTTTTCCCCCATGGTTTCTCCACATGTGCAGCAAATTCAGTTCACAGTGAAAGCAGTGCATGTACGTCCTCTTGGTTGCCATAAAACTGAAATGGTTCTCATCAGAAGGTTTCAGAGGCAGGGTGGGTTATGAACATGTGTTAATAAAGGTTAAATCTTCAGAAGTGAGATTACGCTTTAGTAGGCTTACTGGGAAGATAAAGGGAAGGGGTTTAGTTTTCTAGCAAGTTTGTAACTTCTTGCCTTCGTACCTAAGGAGAGCTGTGAGAATGTGTAGGAAGACAGTAAAACATGGATCACAGTCTGGAAGCACACCTTGAACACACAAAGTGAAGTAGCTGGAAGGAAAGAAGTTGAAGGCCAATGTAGAGAAGGGTGAAAGAGACTAGGTATGAGGGTACCCAGAACTGGGAATTAAAGAAAGGATTAGGAAGAGGACAAAGACATGGATCGATCAGAAATGGAAGTCTTGAAATCTAACAAAAAAGAAAGGCAATGTCACTGAAGGAGGGAAAGAAACACAAAACAAAGCTCTTAATACACTGGCCTATCTGTTGCATCCTATTAAATCACTGACAGGGAAAAAGGATAAGTCACTGAATAATTTAAAAAGTAAAATACAGTCAAAAAATCCAAGGAGAATTCATCAATCTTCTAAAAAGGATTATAATAATGACTGATTGAGAAAAAAAAAATCAATGGCAATAATTCAGAAGCATTTCTGTAGCATTCCATGTGCCAGAATTGCAAGTCATAAGAGTATAAAAAAGGGATGGTGGCTCACTCCTATAATACCAACACTTTGGGAGGCCGAGGAAGGCCAATCACCTGAGGTCAGAAGTTTATGGGCAGCCTGGCCAACATGGTGAAACCCTGTCTCTACTAAAAATATAAAAATGAGCCAGGCATGGTGGTGTGCACCTGTAATCTCAGCTACTGGGGAGGCTGAAGCAGGAGAATTGCTTGAACCCGGGAGGCAGAGGTTGTGGTGAGCCAAGATCACGCCACTGCACTCCAGCCTGTATGACAGAGCGAGACTCTATCTCCAAAAAAACAAAAAGGGGTAACAAGTAATGTATTTGGGAAGAAAGAAAAGAAAACTTCTATTTGATTTTTCACAAAGTGTAACCCCTTTCCTGAAAAAAGTCTCCCATTATGTAGAAACTGATTTATCATGACTATTTATTCTATCTCTACAATGACTTCCAGAAGGTTCCTAACAGCTTCCAAAAACTCCCCCTCCAGAGATGCTCTAGATATCTGATCCCAAGGAAATACTAAGTAGTCCCATTCCCCTTCAGCAAGATCCTCCTAGAAATAATTCTCTGGTGCTGGGCATGGTGGCTTATGCCTGTAATCCCAGCACTTTGGGAGGCTGAGGCGAGTGTATCACCTGAGGTCAGGAGTTCGAGACCAGCCTAGCCAACATGGTGAAACCTGTCATGGTGAAACCTGTCTCTACTAAAAAACTACAAAAATTAGCTGGGCATGGAAGCAGGTACCTGCAATCCTAGGTACTCGAGAGGCTGAGGCAAGAGAATTGCTTGAACCTGGGAGGCAGAGGTTGCAGTGAGCTGGTACTGAGCCACTGCGCTCCAGCCTGGGTAACAGAGTGAGATTTCATCTCAAAAAAAAAAAAAGAAAAGAAAAAGAAATAATTCTTCAAGATCCCACCAACTACACTAGCAGGACAAAACAGAGAGGTTAAAAAGCACAGCCCAGGCCGGGCATGGTAGGTCACACCTATATTCCTAGCAATTTGGGAGGCCGAGATGGGCGGATCACCTGAGGTTGGGAGTTGGAGACCAGCCTGACCAACATGGAGAAACCCCTGTTCCCCTAGTGTCTACTAAAAATACAAAATTAGCCAGGCATGGTGGTGCATGCCTGTAATCCCAGCTACCTGGGAGGCTGAGGCAGGAGAATCGCTTGAATCCGGGAGGTGGAGGTTGTGGTAAGCTGAGATCGCGCCATTGCACTCCAGCCTGTGCAACAAGAACGAAACTCCATCTCAAAAAAAAAAAAGCCACAGCCCAGTGTGGTTCAGACACCCAAAGAAACAAACTATCTACTCCTTAAGTGAAACTAGTAGATCCCACTGGGACTACCTAGAGCTGCACTATCCAGTATGGTAGGGATGTACAATTTAAATTTAAATTCAATACAATAAAAATCTTGGTTTCTTGGTTACATTAGCCATATTGCAAGTCCTCATACTCTACTCTTGGGCAGTATGGACACAGAACATTTCCATTGCTGCAAAAACTCCTACTGGACAGCAGTGATCTAGAAGCCAAAAGCTTTTGGAGGAATAAGGTTATGAATGAGCAGCCCTTGTCTTTCTAAAGGTGGCAGTAATGTTACAACAGATTACCAATCATAGAGACTGCAGATGCCACTGAGAATGGGCAAGAGAATGGTAGAGATCATAGTCTAAAGTATTATTCCTAATAAGAAACTGAATTCACAAAAAGTCTAATGCAGTCACGACATGGAAAGACCACTAAGATACTGTGCAGATGGGACTGGGCAGCACATTTCCTAGGAATGTTGCTATTGATTAAAAGGAGCATAGTGTTCCATGGCTCCCACTAGCCCCATGAAATGTCTGAGGACTTCTTCAGACAAATAATTGTGTTTAATTTACAGATAGACTATGAGAAGCAAAAGGAAGGGCCCCCTAATGGATTAGGACAGATGGTTTTAGTAGGATATAAATGGCTAGCCAGTGAGTTTCTGGTTCCTGATTCAACTTGCACCTTCCTCCAAATATACCACAGGGCCTGATATAAATCAGGTGCTTGATACAGATTTATAAAATGAATAAGCCAGCCGGGCGCGGTGGCTCAAGCCTGTAATCCCAGCACTTTGGGAGGCCGAGGCGGGTGGATCACGAGGTCAAAAGATCAAGACCATCCTGGTCAACACGGTGAAACCCCGTCTCTACTAAAAATACAAAAAATTAGCTGGGCATGGTGGCGTGTGCCTGTAATCCCAGCTACTCAGGAGGCTGAGGCAGGAGAATTGCCTGAATCCAGGAGGCGGAGGTTGCGGTGAGCCGAGATCGCGCCATTGCACTCCAGCCTGGGTAAAAAAAGCGAAACCCCGTCCCCCCAAAAAAAATAAAAAAAAAAATGAATAAGCCAACATAAAAAAATGGTTAAATGTTGAGGAAATTCTGTTAAAACTTTGGGTCAAAAAAAAAAACAACTTCTACATTCCAGCTTAAGATATGATATGGTTGTAAGAGGGAAAAGAAAGTAGGGTACAAAATAGTCCTTACAGTTTGACCTTGGCTACATTAAAATATGCATTAAAAAAGACCAGGCATTATGGCTCATGCCCATAATCCTAGCACTTTGGGAGGCTGATGTGGGCAGATCACTTGAGCTTAGGAGTTCAGGACCAGCATAGGCAATATTGGTGAAACGCCATCTCTACAAAAAATGCAAAAAAAAATTAGCCGGGCATGGTGGTACATGCTTATAGTCCCAGCTACTTGAGGGGCTGAGGCAAGAGGATTACTTAAGCCTGGGAGGTTGAGGCTGCAGTGAGCTAAGATCACACCACTGCACTCCAGCCTAGGTGCAAAGTGAGATCCTGTCTCATAAATAAATAAAAGACAAAAACATTAACAATAGCAGCTGTTTCTGCATAGAGAGGTTATGGGTGATTATAATTTTCTTCATATTACTTACAATGCGCATGTACTTCCCTTTCTGAAATTAGAAAACTAGAAAAAAAGGGTCTAGAAAACCCTAGAAAAAATACCAAATTTAGTATTTTGTAACATAAGATTTAAAGGGCCAGGTGCAGTGGCTCATGCCTGTAATCCTAGCATTTTAAGAGGCTGAGGTGGGTGGATCGTGAGGTCAGGAGTTCAAGTCCAGCCTGGCCAACATGGTAAAGCCCTGTCTCTATTAAAAATACAAAAATTAGCTGGACATGGTGGCATGCGCCTGTAATCCCAGCTATTCGGGAGCCCGAGGCAGGAGAATTGCTTGAACTGCAACCCGACAGGCAGAGGTTGCAATTAACCAAGATCGTGCCACTGCATTCCAGCCAGGGATACAGAGCGAGACTCCATTTCAAAAAACAAAACAAAACAAAAAAACAAAAATTAGCCGGGCATGGTGGCACAGGCCTGTAGTCCCAGCTACTCGGGAGGCTGAGTCAGGAGAATCATTAGAACCAGGGAGACAAAGGTGCAGTGAGCTGAAACAGTGCCACTGTACTGAAGCCTGGGCAACAGAGCAAGACTCAAAAAAAAAAAAAAACAAACACAAAAAGATTTAAAGATTGACCTAACCTTTTGAGGAACTATTTATAATGATGTCTTTCTAAACAGACCATATTAGAGCTTCAATCTAACAGAATTTCCAGAGGTTTCTTTTGAAATTATTTAGAAAGATTAGAGAAAATCACTCAAGCCTGAATTAAAATCTCAGTCATAGAATACAGAGCCACATATTCTGATGAGCTCTTTGGGAAGCATCTGTCACTGTATGCATGAATTCTCCTTCCTTAGAATGATGTGACCATGACCATAAGGCATTGTGTAAAGCCCTCAGCCCCTGACATGAGCACAAAGGGGCATGCCAAAAAACAGAAAGGTAATACCCTCAAGAGCCTCAAGCTATGTCTTACTTGTTGAGTACCCAGCAGAAAAAAACTGTGTTCTCAATCCCATGTACACAGCTATACACCCAAATAAAAGGTACCAACAACTGGGCGAAGACTGTTTAGCATTTGTTTTCCTTATGTGTATGTGGTTTTTTTTTTTTTTTTTTTTTGAAAGGCTGGGGGAGAGAAAGAGAGAGAGATCCGAGGCTCTCTTGGAGAACTGCTTCTAGCTTCATGAGTAATCACCCTGGAAAATGGGAATGGCTGAGTCTATCTGACAGTGTTTGGCTCCAGAGCTTCTGAATGAAGATCATTAGCTGGTTCTTGACTCAACTGTGGTTAACTGAGGCCATGTCATTTATTCTCTGTACTCATTAAAAGTTCAATACTACTCACTGGGGGCATTCTAAAAGGCTAACCTTCTGGGGCCCTTCCCTAGAGACTTCTTTCTCTCTCTCTCTCTTTTTTTTTTTTTTTTCCTGAGATAGGGTCTTGCTGTCGGCCAGCCTGGAATGTAATCACGTAATCACAACTCACTGCAGCATCGACTACCAGGCTCAAGTGATCCTCCTGCTTCAGCTACTTGAGTAGCTGGGAC